GAGGACATCAACAAAAAAGTCATTGCCCTCACCGCTGATGAGCCCATGCCTTCGGGAACGACGGCCGCTGGATCAACCAAGAAGCCAGACGATGACCCCGAGACAAAGGCAATGCCGCGCCAGAAAGCTCTTCGCCTGAATGCGTCCACCGACAAAGCTTAGAAGAAGTTGGAGGAGATCACGGAGGACAAAGAGCAGGCAGTTTGGCTTGACCCTGAAGACATGGCCAGGAGAATCCCCAAAGAATACTGCGGCCCAAGGTTTATTTCGACCAAGCTGTCGTATCTTCTTCGGGGCCATGCCATCAGCTATGGCGCTCCCTCTCCTGCTTTCGGCCCGATCGAGATGTGCATGTCCTATGATGAAACGATGAGAGTCCTCTCCAAGTACGTCTGGAGCCCCACCATCAAAGAGGTGCTGTCAGCGGCGAGGAATAATGAAACTCGTTGCTTTCAAATCAAGGTCGCAAAACCCGACGCGCCAGAAGCAACCTCGAAGGGTTTGCGGTGGAAAGTTGTTGGAATCAGAGCTGTATTCAAGGCCACATCAAGGCGGCTCTTGAACATGCCAAGGTCTCCAATCTTGTGAAGCAGGTGTTCACCTTGGACCCGATCTTTGAAGTCAAGGCTCAACACCAACAAGGTCACGAGGACGTACGAGGACCAATTTGAGACCTGATTTGGTGCCGGAGCTGCTCAGAGAGATGCCACGGCTGATTTATTTACCATTGTTGCGATTGCCTGGGCAATGGAGAAAATCGTCGAGCACCGACTCATCCCTGGTGGTTGGCCAACGAGGACGGGAAGGGCTCACAATTACTGACTGGGTGTCGAATGAATGCATCGTGTCTTCCTTCGACCGCATGAATCGTGAGTTTGCCTGGGTGAATCGTGCCTATGAGCCCACCCGCAATGTCTACAACGCCCTCATGAAGAACCATCGCGAGAAACAGACTCCCAAGGGCCAGGCTTTGGTTACTCCAAGGCACGATCGCACTTGAAGACGTTTCTGGAAAAGAAGAACGTGATTCGTGAAGGTGAGATGCGCATGACCACATCACCAGAGGACCTGACTGCCATCACCCATCGTCGAGAAGGTGCACATGAACCCTTCACCGACCAAGTGACTCTCAAGACGGCTTTCTTTGATCCGGAGCTTTGCCCAACGCCGAGAACATTTGAAAAGGGAAAGGCCAAGGACGGGGCAAGGGAAAAGGACGCCATCCGGGAGGGTCGGCGGGATCTTCAACAACAAGATTGAGGTGCAGCAGGTCAAGCGTCGTCAGGCTCCCAACATGGAAGGAATTCACAAATTCCAAAGCTGTTTCAAATGTCTGGTTGCTTGGTTCGACGGAAGAATTGCCACGCAGGTATGCCGGTTGGAAAGCACGGCCAAGAGACAAATGGTGTCGTTGCACTGGACAAGATTGACTTCGAGAAGCAGCCACGAAGCCAGAGAGTGTCAGACAGAACACGTGCTGACCAGCGCAGAGCGGGAAGGAGCAATTTTGGCAACCTGAGGGATGCTGCCCAGGCTCATGCTGGCCGTTATGCCAAGCTTGGTTTCACATCCATTAAGGACGGAATGGAAAGAGATCCATACTATCTCTTCAACAACGCCATGGCACAAATTACTGTTGCCAATTCCTTGAGTTGGTAGCCAAATGCTTATCCCCGGAATTGGGCAGATCCAGAGAAAGCAGAGAAAAGCAGCTGGGAACAGGTGTCAGTACGGGATTGCTCTTCATGCCAGACGAGAAGAGAGACATCCGCAAGCCGCTCGATGTGACGAATAAGGCGATGATTGCACACCGCGCGAGATTTTTCTCACTTGCCCAGTTTGCAGTTCTCACTACGGAGATTCCCAAAGCGAAGGGGGAACCCTCGCCGTTATTGCATGGATGGGCCGGGTCAGTCCTTCCCATCGACCAAGGCACGGCGCAGGATTGCTTTTTCTACTTGGTGGACTTTGCCAAACGACAATGGGCAGAACAGTTCGACAACCTCAAAGGCGAGCAGTACAGCTTTGAGCCCACTGCTACCGCCAGTGATGTCGCCGACTTCCCATTGGCAAGGAGTACCAAGCACACTGACAAAAGAGAGGGGCTCCGGAGGAACTTTGATCCCAGCGCACGTCCTGAGAAGGGGCAGGCTGTCGAGTGCTGGAACTGGACAATATGGTCACAGGTCCTTTGAGTGTCCGAGTCGCCGGGACCGATGATGGAACTGGCAATCTGGATATTCAAGCCGCTCGGGAAAGCAGGCCGCATGGAACTATGGATGGGAGACAGGGTATCGCAACCAAGGATGGGGTGATGATTGGGGCCGATCTGCTCCGTCAAGTTCATCAGCTCCTCCTCCAGACCCCGTGAACCCACCTGAGCCTGCGCCCGCCACTGGCGACACATCGACTGCAGCTGACTCGGTCGTGACTAAGATCCCTCCGAGGGCTCCGATCATCAGTGAGGAGTACGCCAAGGTGAATGGCATGCATGCCGCACTTTCGCCGCACCTATGCCGATGGCACTGTTGAGTTTGAGCCGTGGTAATTTTGTCTCACAGCTTTCAATTTTATGCCTGCCGGAAGGTGTGGCCGATTGGATGGACTTGACCTAGAGTCGAACCATTGCAATCGCATTGAACGCGAATATCATTTGATGAAATTTCACTCAAAACTTTCTCAATTGATTCAAACCAATTTGACACTCATCCGATCCGATGTAGCATTGGCCTGCGGACAGGTGCCGCGTAGTTTGGCCCCTTTCGAAGCTTCCTATGTCATGGCTATAGGTTGGAGCGCTAAAGCTCCCATGCCTTGGCGGAAGCCAGGCCAACTAGCTTTTGCGCTGTGTCACACGTCCGACGCCCCGGGTTGAAAGTTATGCATCCGTTTTGCCTCATGCATCCGAGTTGAGACTCCGCACACAATGTAGCTAGGGTTGACAGTGATTTTATCCAGCCGACGCCCAGGTCTCATGCTGGACATATTCATCCTTCCGTCCTCCGTGAATACTGCGGGGCGGTGGGAAGTGTTTCTTGGTAGTTTCACTGTATGTACATAACCCTTATCTACCTTTGCGTGCATGGCTCAAGAAAATAGAGTTGCTGAAACATGCTGGTGCGTTTTGGTTGTTACTCCTGTAAAACGATTTTTTACCAGCAGGCACAAAGGCACAAGCACACTCCTGGCGGAGATCTTGTTCAAGATGCCCTCATGGGACTGACACTCCCCTTTGTACCCGTGCAACTTCAAAGGTGCTCAGAAAACCGCCGCTTGAACTTGTAAACCGTGTGGCAAAGAAATTGCGTAATTACAGCTCTGACGTTAAACGCATGATTTTAATCATCTCCAGGGAAAAACATTCTGGTTTACGCCACTTGGCCACTTCATACACTCCAGCTGTCACTGGGAATACCAGGCCCTGGCAAGGGATGATTTCGGGTCATGGGTTTTCCGAGCAAAACCATGGAACACCTCCAATGGCACAATGTTGTGACTTCAGGTCTTTTTTATCGCACCATTGGTGAAAAGCCTTTGCTTTCCAGATGGTGTCCCGGTAGCTCGGCATAGAAAGCAGTGCATCTTGCTGTGGTTTGCCTATCGTTTCTCACATTTTCACATCATCCCAGATCCAGTTTCCGAACCCACAAGTGCCATGTGACATGACATCCCATGCCCCTAATATTCAGTACGTACATGGGATCCAAAAATTAGTAGATCCAGTACTGAACCGGGTTTTCTGGGGCTGTACTTCAGGGAAGGAATTCTGTTCGAATGGAAATCTGTTTGGGGCTCGGCAGAGGCCGAGCATAGGGTCGCTGGCGATGGGTTCGTTGGATTCTGTCCAGCAAAGCTGATGGCCTTCATAGCGCTGAGACGCAAACCGTAACAGCCTCAACACAAACCACAAAAACCGCCATCAAAATCCATCAAAAACCCATGAAACGCTAGGAATGATCGAATGATCGAATGATCGAATGATCCCGATGTGTTACAACATGTTACAACAAAACAGACTGGAATTTGGGCAGGTTCCAAGAGCGTGTCCACTTCTGGTTTCAGCCATCATGACAGAGTGGTTGTTGTGACCTTGGTCACTAGCTGGTTGTTTGGGGATATCATGTTTAAACATGTTGAAACTCACACTCATGTCGCATTCGGAATGAGACATATTGAGACCTCATTGTAGGTATCTTGGATCCGCTGAGCACTTTACTCCACTTTCAACATGTTGCAGTGTGAAGAGTTCTGGTGAGACCAAAGTCACTGGAGTCTCTGGAGTCTCTAGAGGCCTTTTAACCAGAGTCTGCACGCGATCCTCAATGCTTCCCCGAGGAAAGCCAACGGGTGAACCTTACAAACAGTGACGGAGAAAGTGTCTGACCTGAAGTCTTTCTCTGTTACACTGATTTGTATCGGACATCTGCATTTGAACAACATGCGCTGCTATTCTAGAATCCCAAATGAGTGAGTGCATGTGCATTTGCTTCTAAAGTTCCACGTGGTGTGGTCAAAGTAGAAATATACTTACGATCACACTGACGCAGATATACATACACATTGTACATACATACATATTCTATATGTAGATTACGTTTGCAATATTCGTTTTGCATATAATCGGTAACATATACATGCGCACACGCGTCTGCATCGATGGACATGAAAGTAGACCAAATCAATACCTGCATAATCCATCATAATCCTACATATTGGTTTACATGTGTGATCATGTGTGCATGAAACCAATGAAACCTGTTTAGTTTCTGCGCCGAGCCAAGGCTATCCTGTTGGCATTTGGGCCCCATCATGGGCAGCTGGCGTGTCCACGTCCGCTGCACCTTGGCCTGACCGTCAGTAGAAACTCCCAGTCGAACACAGGATAGCATCCGTCAGCATAGTGCAGCATTGCCGAAACAGAGTGACGACAGTGACGTTTCGTGAGTGTTTCAAGTGACATTTCTGTTTTTTTCACAGATTCTCAGCTTGGTGCTCAGGTCATGCGTTTGCTGGTGCAGGAGAAGTTGGGATTTCTGACTGTCCAGACCTTAGAGACCTTAGCTGTTGAAGACTGGGGTTTGCTTCACGGTTGTGGACGATTGCTTGGTTGCTTGTTTGTGGCACATAGTGAGAGGCTAAAGGTATGAAGAATTATGAAGCATAGTCACCTTTGCAGGTCGCCTGAACATCTAGGGTCAATGTATGGTCGTCAAGGTACGGAATTCTGGCCCTCAATCCCCTCCTCTTCCGATGGAAATTCCACAGTTCCAGTCCGAAATTCCAAGAAATCATCGAAATCTCAGATCAAGTCAGTCCTTGTCGGTATAAAGCACAGCTTGCACTAGGTCTTAGGTGGTGGACCCGCAACAGTTGATGGATTCTTTGCCATCGCTGGCTGCGAATCACCCACTGACACTTGATACTTCAGATCGGGACAGGCGGCAAGAGTTGCTCTATTGGCAGAATCGTTGAAGGCCTTTAGTAGCTAGTGTCCGTAGAACACCTCCTCTGATTTGTACAATTTGTACAGAATCTGACAGAATTTGTGGCTTCGGGGTTGGCTGATTACTGTGGTGCTCGGGGTACTGTAATTGCGACGCACAACTCGGACCTGGCCTGTATTCCACATCAAAAGTGTTTTGTTTACTCACAGCATTTTGCAAAAGATGACTTGAGCAGTTTTTCTTCCCATCCCAAATTGTTTGACATTCCTTGGAGCAGCTGATAAAATGCACACAGCGCAGACAGGAGGGAGAAATCTGGATCGTTGGTTTCAGAGGTTTCAAAGGTTTCAGGATAAAGCATCTGAGATCATCCGAGGACCTTTCTGACCGGGGATGCAACGGTAAGCACAGCTACTACCACGTCCACTTGGAGGGCTGGACTGCAGCTTGGTGCCAAGGAAGCGCATTCCTGTGAAGCCTTGTGAAGCCTTGTGAAGTGTGGCTGTTGGATTCTGCGACACCCAGGGATTGTTGAGACGTGTTGAGAGTTGTTGAGAGTTTTCATTACTTTCAGCATTTGGATTGAAGCCATCTCTGCATCTCCTCTGAGAAGCCGCTTTGGCTGCCCACTTGACCTGTTCCTCTGGAGTAGAAAAAGTCAAAGGCTATACTGGCTATACTCTTTTCTGGAAGAATCTGTTGAAAACAACTGCAGTGTGCGGCCATGTGCGGCCATTTGCGGTGTCGCCCAAGTCTCTGACTCACTGCAACTCCACTCCTGCGAAGAGAGATGAAGAAAGAGAGTGAGTTGCGGAGAGAACAGGACGAAGAAATCGAAGAACTCTGCCGGTTTTGTTTTCAAGGATGTTCCCGACCTTATTCTCCGTGCTTCCATTCCCGTCCTCCCTTTCCAAAATGGTAGCTGTTGTGGTTCCTGTTTTGCTGTGATATCTGTCATCGGGTATCATGTTTTATCATTATCTGAAGTCCAGCGGAAAGTGAGCTGCGCAAATAACTTGCGCTTCAACGTTGAAGAGTTCGCACATCTAAAAATGTGCTCTTTTTTTTGTCCTCAACTGGTACCAGCTGCAGCGCCAACAGGGACCTACACTGAAAACCACTTTAAAACCAATTGAAAACCAATGGATTCCGATAATTTTCCGATTTTGTAAATCGCCTGTAATTCCGCTGAGCTTGGCCGAGTTTCGATTGCACATTGCCGACACCGAGGCAGGGTACCCACATATTTGGAATCAAATTCAACAAGCTGCTTGGCCCTGCTTGGCTGTATTTGCATTGTGTCATTTCTTGACATCACATCTAGGGTTTCTCGATGTTTCTCATAATAGTAATGCGTTTTGTTCTGTTTAACGGGTTTGCATATCCGACCGTTTATGATTCCCAAGAGCCAATTTGGTCCACGCACAATGGAAATGTGCATCACGCGAATCTGTGTGGGGGCGCAATTCATGCAGGGTTTGAACCAGTCGGAACAATTCGGGGCCCAGGAATATCCTGACACTGCTCCACAGAATCTTTGATGGCCACAGTTGGCGTTGCCTGGGCTGGGATCAGTTCTTTTGATGTTCTCCCGACGTGCCCTTTGAGTTGACCGAAAGAAGATTGTGTTGATTCATAACATTCGTAGCACCCTTTGAGCACCAGGTTTTTGTGGTTGAGCTGTTGAAACCTGCTTAGGCTCGCTCCGTGCATAGATTGCATAGATGACAGCTGAAAAGGACCACTTTTTGAGGTTCCAATCATGCGGGTCATAGCGGGTCTAGAAGCTGGTTCATCAGTGTCGGGCCTTGCAGCCTGTGTGATGGGATATGTTCTCGTGGCTGTTTTGTTTTGATATTGAGGAGTCGTCCCAGGCTGTTTCAAACAGCATCTGCAGCATTTGCAGATGTGTGGTATGTTCAAAGCGGTTTTGACTTTGACGTCGCGTCATAGGTTGGTCGTTTGAATGTATGTCAGCTATTGCCCAATCTTTATCCCACATTTCAGCAATGGGCGAATGTCTCGTGGTCCTTTGGGGTTGATGTTGATGCGACCCTGAACGATATGCGAAACAACCATCTTCAACCTGTCATGAGCGCCAGAAACAGCAGCCCGCTCAGACCCAAATCGAACTCGATTTCTGTCATGTGTTCATTGACGTTTCATCGATGGTCATCAAGGAACTTGGGCGGCATGGGCTACTCTGGCTTGAGCGGTGCCTGATTTGCAGTGATGATTGGCCACTGTCTTGGGTGTGACCAAAACCAGCTTGTTTGTTTATGTTTTAGAGGAAACATTGCTATTGTCATCATTGTTACGCAGAGTACATGGCGAAGTCTCACCAATCCAAAAGCAGAGCTGGTTAGTCAACACTAGTCAACTGGAAATTTGTGTGGAAACAGAGTTTCGATGTCTCCCCTCCACAACCCTCCACAACCCTCCACAACCTCCACAACCCTCCACCACAGCCCACAGAGGTATGTACATTCCCAGAGAGGTGATCGAAAGCGCCTATGATCAAGCAACTCGGAGCAGTACTGTCAATATTGTGCATCCACAGGGTCCCTTTCTTTACTGATTTGTCTTCATTATATACGTGGAAAATCATGGAAAGATCTCATTGACCCCACCCAAAAGCTTGATGCCCGCACTTCAGGTATGCTCGTGGGTGTCCCAACAACTACTGCAACGAAGTGAAAAAATGTCGCAAGATTATCTTGAAATGTCCCACCAGAACGAATCAATCAGTTCCATTTTTCTGGAATCCGCTGATCCAATAACCCTAAAACAGGAAGAGTGGTTTTTGCAAAGCAGCCGGAAAGGTTGTATTTTTCTGGGCAGGAAGTTTTAGGAGTCCAACATCCAATGCTCCAGTGGGATTAGAACCTGGGCGATCCCGGAGAAGTGAATTCCCGGAGTTTTAAAATTCACATCCAGTGAAAGTCGCCATACCTTTTGTCCCGGTGGAACTTGCAGCCCATTACCTTTTGAGCACAGCGGTGTCCACAGCCCATATGGCTATACCCAATCCGATTTAAGTTTATATACTCTACATACATATTTAATCATATTTATATAAATATAATCCTGGGCATGCTCAAACTGGGCCTGCGCAAAAGTACGCATGCAAGGTGCAAAGCACCGCAGATCGATCCCCTGAAATGGTGATTCCAATACAAATCACATTCAATTCAACGTTTTGCAGAAGCCACTCTCCATGGCTAACGCAGCCTAGGGTCCGCATGATATTGTGTTGTCCCACCCCAACATATTGATAAGAAGTTCACAGCCATTGATAGGGTAGCATGTGCACCAGGGCCATGGGATCTCGTCGGAAAGCGTGGAAAACACAATTTCATGCGAGTGATTACGAAGCCACTTCATGCACGAGCTGCCAAAGCCTTGGAAATAAACATTGAGATACCTTGGACTTCGACAAGAGCGCAGCATCTTTTTAGCTAATGTCTTGGCCATTATATTTCCGCTAAAATAGTGGCCCCTCAACAATTAAAGTTATGCCGAGGCTGTATGCTGCCCCCAAATCACGATGCACATATCCGGAAAAAGGTCGGACAGGCGGCAACTGAATCGAGCATCTCACATGAATGACTAGTGCCACTAGGGGGCCCAAAGTAGTGCAGCCAATATTTCCGACCAGCAGCATGCTTAACGATGAACCAAGGAGGGCATGGTATTGCAGTTCTACCGTGGCTTGATTTCATAACGCATTGCGGAAGATGGAGATGAGACAGGAAAGGCTGCGATTCTTCTGCTACAAGACAGATTACATTATTCGTGTTGCACCAGCAAAGGCATTGCATCACCGCTTGCGTTAAATGTTTCATCGCCACAACGCTAGGATGGTTCAGATGTCAATGTCAAGGAGATGAAGTGTTTCAACCTGGTCAATAAAAGGGATCATTCAATCTATGTATATTCATAGACGCAACCTATTGAACTTCCCTCGGCGGGACCCTGAAGTAGCTAGATTGAATTAGATTGAAGTTGTTGGCTGAATGACGCAGTTGTTTTCGCATTTTATTTCTGGTTGCTGATTTTGTGGAGTTTGGTGGCTGGAGGGCGTGTTCATGCAAGAAAGCACGTGCGGGCTTGCAGGGCTTGGTAGGAGTGAATGGTGGGTCATGGTGGGTCCTTGGCAATTTTGTACTTTGGTTATTTTGGTTGTCTCAGGTGCCCACAACACTTCCAAGCACCTTGGCAGAGTGATGGGAGGCGGATATTGTGTTGCTACTCCTCTGCAGACGGGAAGCCTGTCAACTCAAAATGAATCTATTGTGGTACCTTGCATGATGGAGCTGACCTGGGTGCACCTATTGAATTTGATTGAGCTCGATGGTGTTTTCTTTTTTTTCCCAGCTTCCAAGAAAGTTGGAGCAGCTGCTGAATTGATCGCAACTGTTGTCGCGGTCGCGCATCCTGGGCGAGGTGGAGTAGCGTATTCTAGTCTTTATATGAATGATGCTTGCTGTTGGTAGGTGGCCAAAGAGCATCTCGAATCTCAAGTCGTATCTCAAGCCTTTGCAGTCTTTCAACGGCTTTTCAAAACGTACAGAAATAGTCTCATCATTTTTCGACTGGTAATCTTTCCACCATAATTCTGGCACAAGTGGCGCCTGAACCCAATCATCGGTTTGCTCAACAAGCAGATACAGAGCACCCATATGTGTAGTGAATCTGTTTCATGTTCATTCTCATCGCCGCCGCCACAACCACCACCATCACCACCACCACCAGCATCAGCATCATCATCATCATCATCAGCATCATCATCATCATCATTATTATCATCATCACCACCGTCATCATCACCATCATCATCATCAAATTCATCCTCATTCTCATCATCATCATCATCATCATCATCACCATCATCATCATCACCATCACCATCATCATCATCATCAAATTTATCATCATTCTCATCATCATCATCAGCATCATCATCACCATCATCATCATCATCAAATTTATCATCATTCTCATCATCATCATCAGCATCATCATCACCATCATCATCATCATCATCCTCATCATCCTCATCATCATCATCATCGTCATTGTCATTGTCATCTCATCGTCCTCGTCCTCGTCCTCTTCGTCATTGTCATATTTGTCTTCATTGTTCCTGCTCTCTCTGGTGCTGTGACTCATTTGGTGCAATGTTCCATGTATGCAAGTGTCGTCTTGAATTTGGAAGGTTCGGTTGGAGTTGTCCTGTTTGAGTTACTACCCAAGGTCTAATCCCTCCAAATACTTCGATGATATCAATGCCTTGAATGCTGAGCAACTGGGATGTGATCGCTCAAGGGATGTGATGTTTTCAGGCAAGCTCCAACGTCTGAGTGATCTGTAAACCTGGCTTACCAATCCAACTGATGCAAGTTGCCAGTGAAGGGTTCCGGTGAGACCCTGCTAGGGACCCGCATGTGATTGGAAGCAGCAGAGTTGCCCTTTGTGCAATTTTGGATCAGGCTATATGGGTCACTCTTTGACCGGAAGCACCAGTTATGATGATTTCGGGAAAACCAATGGTGATGGTCCGGGGATAACATGCCTCGCCACTTGCATAGCACAAGGACTCTGAAGACTTGCGGCGAGACACGCTTGATGGACAGCCAGGCAGATCTGAGCAGCGGTTTCGCGATGTTCGCAGGAAGCATGTCCCTGATTCATGTCGGATTAGGTTGGATTAGGTGGAAACCATATGAAGCCATCACATGCCACGACTAGTTACTACTTGACATTGAGTGGCTTTTGCAGGGGTCGTTTGTTAAGGCGGATTGGATAGGAGATTGCAATAGATTGCACCTGTTCCAGATGATGACCAAGTCAAAGTTTCCTGCACCATTGCGTAACTTTGCTTTGGGAATTGTTGGGTATTGTTTTTCTTTTGTGGTTGGAAAGCAGCTTCGGGAACAGACACGGGATCAATCCCAGTGGATTGGCAGAGGCCATGTCCGTCTATGCTCGAGTCACCAATGACTGGGATGGTGTGGACAACAGCAGCCTGACAGCACGAGCAAATGACCAGCCTGAATTCTCATTGTGTGTGTACCTTGAAAAATCCTCCAAGAAAAATTATGGATCATCCAAACTGGCTAGGAGATAGTCTTGTTGCGCCAAGAACCACTTCTGCGAGGTTTGTCATTCGACCTAAGACTGGGAAGATCGCAAGTTGAAAGGCGGTAGGCCCTTCCAACAGCGCACTCTTTCACTTGATGCCTTTCCAAGTATGGGTGGAAAGAATGCACACTTGCTGAATTCCCTTCCCCACCTCGGGCATTCGAAGATGACAGGAGTCCGGACCAAGCCGAACCCGGATCATGAAACCGATGAAACCGATGAAACTTAGGTTCTGGCACTTTGGTGGGAAAGTGCTTTTTAGGCTCCACAGATCCGTCGGGGCAGGTTGCCTCTGCTAAAAAGGTCTCCTGAAAACTAAATGATCAAATTTGTTCATTTCATGATTTTTTCTGGGCATAGTTATTGGGTCCTTTATTTTGAAGTAAATCGCCTCGTGATGATACGAGGGTTTTGGATGATAGTGCTGCAAAATCAAGGAAACCAACTGGTAAAGCTACTTTTCAAAGCATTGAATATTCCGAGACTAGCTCCACTCGAAGCTCGGTCAGATTCATGAAAGGATGAAGCAATCAGAGCGAGAGACTTTCTCGGCATTGAAATGCACCACAACTTGTATGATGATTTCGAGTCATCACAGAGAGAGAGAGAGAGGAAGAAAATTTTAGCTGACCCACTTTATCCTGTGTTCTTTGTCCAATGGAAAGGTCCGACAAACCAATGTTGGCAATTTGTGACATGTGCCATCAGGGTACTTCTGGTTTGCGCCCTCCTGCCGGGCAAATCCCCTGGAGTGCTACACATACATCACTGCAGGCAGGGCGATGTAAGGCGATGTAAGAGCCCATGATGAGCCATGATGCCATGGAGTAATGTAAAATTGAACCACTACAACTCGAGGGAAAGATTGAAATCTTGAGAATGCTTGGTTTGGTTGGGAATATTGGGGACATTCCTCTCCGGATGACACAAGAATAGAGAAAAAAAACGAAATGCCTTGATCCAAGAATACGATGAAGCTTTCCACAGAATCAGCTGTGTACCTTCAGCCAAGTTTGCAGCTCAGAGGCGGAAAGGAGAAAGGTTCTTTCTCAAGGTTGCATTGGGGAAAAGAGATTTACCTTGTTTTACCATGTTTAAAAGCGATTGGAGCTGAGCGTTAAATCTGTATGACCACCAACCCCCCATGCTTGGGTTGGCTTCTGCACTGCTTTGAACAGAGATGGGCAGATTCATCACACCACTCACGCCAGATTGTAGTCTTGAGGTCAGTAATCTGTCGGCGCAGGCCCGGGTTACGGATATGAGCACACGATGCAAAAAGCCACGTGGTACAACATGCCCATGGCAACTCGGGCAAAATAGAGGACACTCTGTTTGTGGCCTTTATATCCCTTGGCTTCAGATACCACAAACTGAGGCTTGAGGCACCGATTCCAAAATCCAGAAATTGAACAGAGCAGAGAGGATCAGAGAACATGAACTGACTGGGCCGCACGAGGCATCCATTAGTTCTATTCCTTTTTACTGGAAGATTTTCCAAGTCCACCAAAGTAGCAACTTAGGCAGCTTCTCTGAAGCAAAAAATGTGACACCCCAACTCACTATACAATTGCAGGTCTTGCTTCACGCACTAAAAACGGGTCATCCGATGCGTCATCCCATGAGTCATCCAAGCTAAACCAAACACTGCTGTTGAGGAAAAAGATTCGAATCAGATTTCTGATGAAATCTCCACAAACAATGAATGATCAAGTTCCATTTTTAACAGATTGAAAAATTCACCTGTCGCAAGCTTCAAGCAAGAGAATGGCTTGACACGTTTTGCTATCACTCAGCCTTCCAAGGCGGTTGCAGTGGCCAAGCTTTGGAGCGATTACACCACGCTGCCCATGCAGGCGAGAAAACTCGGGATTGAATGTTGGGGAATTGCAGAGCTTCGCACACCGGCGATGCCAAAAGGTTTCCCTATCCTCGCCCATTAACTGTTGTTGTTGCTGATGATGATGCTGATGATGATGCTGATGATGATGATGATGATGATCATGATCATGATGATGATGATGATGTCATCTGTGCGCACAATTTTTGAAGCGCACAAACGACTATGTAGTTTGTATCTTTAACATGCCAGTTGTACCGCACAAGGCAGTGGCGGAAGTTCAAAAATACAAAACCTATAGGGGAAGTGAGTTGTTGTGACGCACGAATGTCCGAACGAACCCACTGATGGATCGAAAGGTGGTTGAGGCTCTGACTCTCTCTCTCTCTTTCTCTCTAAATCTCTCTGCCACCTTCTCTCTGTGCCTCTTGATTTGTCTATCTATCTAGTGCAGTTGTAGTCGCAGCCGTAGTCGTACCCGTAGACGCAATCATAGTCGTAGTAGTCGTAGTCGTACTAGTCGCAGTCGTAGTAGTCGTAATCGTAGTGGTAGTGTTAAAAGTAGTAAAAGTGAAAAAGTAGTTGAAGTAGTAGTAGTAGTAGTAGCAGTAGCAGTAGCAGCAGCAGCAGTAGGTACTACTACTGCTACTGCTACTGCTACTGCTTCTACTACTACTACTACTGCTGCTGCTGCTGCTACTGCTACTGCTACTGCTACTGCTACTGCTACTGCTACTGCTACTACTACTACTACTACTAGTACTACTACTACTACTACTACTACTAGTACTACTACTACTACTACTACTACTACTAGTACTATTACTAGTACTAGTACTGCTACTGGTACCAGTGCTAGAACTAGTACTACTGCTGCTGCTGCTAGTATTACGGCTACTACTGGTAGTAGTGTAGTAGTAGTAGTAGTACTAGTAGTAGTATTTGTAGTAGTAGTAGTAGTACTAGTACTAGTACTAGTAGTATTTGTAGTAGTAGTAGTAGTAGTACTAGTAGTAGTACTAGTACTAGTACTAGTACTAGTACTACTAGTAGTACTAGTAGTACTAGTAGTACTAGTAGTACTAGTAGTACTAGTAGTACTAATAGTTAGTAGTACTAGTACTACTAGTACTACTAGTACTACTAGTCCTACTAGTACTACTAGTACTACTAGTACTACTAGTACTACTAGTACTACTAGTACTACTAGCGCAAGGTATTTGTTCTTCAGTAGTGTCTTGCGAGTTTGATTGTGTTTTGCAAGTCGTTGTTGGCAGGTCGCATTGGAATTGCTACATCACGGATGCAATTTGAATGTGAATGTGAGGATTTGCACGAAACATTGGGTTTTTTCGGGTAAGCCGAGTTTCCGTTGCGAGAAAAGATGGCTCGCGTGCGCGACGGTTCCGGGCGTCGTCGCTTTCGCGTGGAATCTTGCTCGAACTGCGCGGAATGTAAGTGAGGGTTCCAGGTGACGTTTTCTCTTCTTTGTTGATGCTGTGCTATTGTGTTTTGCATGTGTTGAGTGCATCAAAGCGATGCGTTCTACAGTAGCGTGTTGCAATTCTATTGCGTTGCGCAATTAAGTCTGTGCAGATCGCAGTGGAATGGCTGCGCCAAGGCTTCTCGAAGGGTACTTGTTCTCAGTACTGTCTTGCAATTCTGATTGCCATTTGCAAGTCACTGTTGGTGGATCGCATTGGAACTGTTACATCATGGATGCGATTTGAATGTTAGGATTTGCACGAAACATGGTGTTATTTCGGGTACACAGAGGTTCCGTTGCAGAGAAAAGTTGGCTCGCGTGCGCGACGGTTTCGGGCGTCGTCGCTTTGCCGTCGAATCCGGCTCGTTTTGCGCGCGCAATGTAACTGAGGGTTGCAGCTGACTTTTTTTTGGTTGATGCTGCGCGATTGTGTTTTGCATGTGTTGAGATACTTTCTGCATTGGAACTGGTGCATCAAAGCGATGTGTTCTACAGTAGTATGTTGCACTCTTTTGTGTTCTGCAATTCAGTATCGCAGTGGTATGGCTGCGCCAAGGCTTCTTGAAGGGTACTTGTTCCCCACATTGACGTGTAGGGTTTTTGTTTTTAGTTCTGTATCCGCCTTCCTCTTCCTCCTCTTCCTCCGCCTCCCGTCCTCCCACTTCCTCACCACCCTCACTCACTCTCACTCACTCACTCTCACTCACTCACCCTCACTCACTCTCACTCACTCTCACTCACTCACTCTCTCACTCACTCTCACTCTCATTCTCACTCTCACTCTCATTCTCACTCTCCCTCTCTCGCTCTCACTCTCACTCACCCTCACTTTCACTCTCACTCTCACTCTCACGCTCACTCTCACTCTCACTCTCACTCCCACTCCCACTCTCACTCTCACTCTCCCGCTCTCACTCTCACTCACTCTCACTCTCACTTTCACTCTCACTCTCACTCTCACGCTCACTCTCACTCTCACTCTCACTCCCACTCCCACTCTCACTCTCACTCTCACGCTCACTCTCACGCTCACTCACACGCTCACTCACTCACTCACTCACTCACTTCCTCCCACTTCCTCCCACTTCCTCCCACTTCCTCACTCACCCACCCTCCCTCACTCACCCTCACTCACTCACCCTCACTCACTCTCACTCACTCTCACTCACTCACTCACACTCACTCACACTCACTCACTCACACTCACACTCACACTCACTCACTCACACTCACTCTCACTCTCACTCACACTCACACTCACACTCACACTCACACCTCACGCACGCACGCACTCACTCACGCACTCACTCACTTACCTCACTCTCTCACTCTCACTCACTCACTCACTCACTCACTCACTTTTGCGTGGCAGGCATGGGACAATCTGCACTGCCAAGGGGTCGGATGTAGGATCTGGCGTTCCTCTGGCGTCCCTCTGGCCGGCGTCCCTCTGGCGTTCCTTGGGCTCCGCTGCTTTTGCATGGCAGGCGTGTGACAATTTGCACTGCCAAGGGGTCGGATGTACGCCCTGGCGCCCCTCTGGCGTTCCTTGGGCTCCGCTGCTTTTGCGTGGCAGGCGTGGGACAATCTGCGCTGCCAAGGGGTCGGATGTACGCCCTGGCGTCCCTCTGGCGTCCCTCTGGTGTTCCTTGGGCTCCGCTGCTTTTGCGTGGCAGGCGTGGGGCAATCTGCACTGCCAAGGCATCGGATGTACGGTCTGGCGTCCCTCTTGCGTTCCTTCATGGGCTCCGCTGCTTTTGCATGGCAGGCGTGGGACAATCTGCACTGCCAAGGGGTCGATGTAGGATCTGGGGCGTTCCTCTGGCGTCCCTCTGGCCGGCGTCCCTCTGGCGTTCCTTGGGCTCCGCTGCTTTTGCATGGCAGGCGTGTGACAATTTGCACTGCCAAGGGTGTTGTACGCCCGGAGAATAGTCCTTTCCTAGGTTCGGGCTCAACGGGCCCGACGGGCCCAACAGGCCCAACGGGCCCAACGGGCCCAACGGGCTCCAACGGGCCCCAACGGGCCCCAACGGGCCTGCTTCACGGGCTCAACGGGCCCAACGGGCTCGACGGGCTCGACGGGCTCGAGAGGCCGTGGCGCTGAATGAACCCATCATCCCTTCTGGTGCTGGCGTTACACTTTACATTCAATTGGGAAGATCAACAACGGTACTGGGAATATAGATTCCCACCCCGGGCTAACTTAATATTCAATGGGGAAAATCAGCAAAGGTATTAGGAATTTAGAATCACATCTCTGTTCAACTTTACATTCAAGCAGGAAAATCAACAAGGGTAATTATTTGGCATATAAGTTCCCCGCCTGTGAATTTTACATTCAATTGGGAAGATCACCGATAGGTATTTGGAATATAAGCTCCCTTAAAAACATAATTGCCCACCCTGCTTGAACTTTTAGATTCAAGTGGGAAGATCACCGCATGTATTAGGAATATATTTTTAAAAAAATCCCACTCTCGTTTGCTTTTTTGCTGTCGACTGGAAAGATCAAGAAGGGATGATGATGATGATGATGATGATGAGGATGAGGATGATGATGATGATGATGATGATGACGCTTCGTTGCCCATCGTCGTTGCCCTGCCAGGCTAAACCCAGGCATTAGCCGTATTTCAACATATGTATATATACATATATAAATGTATGCATCTTGTATCTTTCTAATGCGTATACACACATAAATATTTATTTATTGGGTGATTGTTCTTTATGTATATCTTATACCTAAATACATCTGGTTGTAGATGAAAAATGTATGATCCCAGCACGCCATTGGGATCATGTTTCCAATTTTCGTCGCTTTCCTGCTTCAGCAATCCATGGCTTTCTGTTCTTCGTTTGGTTACAGGTATTATTCCACCAGGTGTTGATTAGTTCGGCACCAGATGTGGACTACCAACCGGTGAAATAAAATCCTTCGCATCCACTCGGGGTATGATTTGTCAAGCGGTGCCGTTTGCCGATTCTACGATTCTTTCCTAGACAGCGGCCACAAAAAAAATCGTGCTTCGCTTCATCCCTTTGTGACGGCTTTATCTCACATATCCGCGTCAGCGCTGCCAGAACCAGAAAGTGAGCAGTATTCCTATATTACCCTAGATATCGGGGATTATCATCATCAATTTCTAAAAATCGGCCATAAAAAGGGATTAGCTAAAGCTTGCCAGCCCTGCTCAAATGAATATGGGATGGTATGGGTCAAACATTTTTAGATGTCCTGCTCCCCATGGGAAGCATGATGTGCTGTGCACGTGGGCCAAACGGCGCATGTTCTTTGACCCACACCAAACCGTCGGAAGGTGAAACTTTTAAAAACATAGCTTGGCGGCTTGGCAACATCCAAACTGGCAGACACGGAATCGTCCCATATAGATTTGCTGCCAGAAAAGTTGCTCCACAGAATGTGGCATGTACTGATCATTGTTTTAGTTTGGAACTTACATGATGATTCTTCCTTCTATCACGCAGGGATAAAGAATGTGGTTGCTAACATATCTGATTGGCACCCC